AGAGGTAAACGTGAAATTGAAAAACCAAACACTATCCCAACATGGTATTATGCAGATTCTCCAATTAAAAGAGCAAAAGGGGTTGCAATAGGTTTTGCAAAGAATAGGAGATTTGAGCTGGAGGATAGAAGAACCGACCCTGAGGGGAGGTTTTTATTCTTAAAAGGTAGACTCCAGGGGATTGAGTGTACTTTAGCCAATATATACTGCCCTAATAAAAACCCGGAGATGTATATGAAGGGTCTGCTGAAAAAATTAATGGAATTTAAAACAGGGCGCCTGATAGTAGCTGGAGACCTAAATTTCTGTATGGACCCACAAAAGGATAATACCTCTTCTGTGCAAAGAGAGGGGAGTAGGTCTCTGAGAGCTCTCTGAAAAAAGTGATGCATGAATATCAACTAGTGGACACTTGGAGAATAAAGCATATGAAAGACAGAGACTATACCTTCTTCTCTAATGCACATGAGATATACTCGAGATTAGATTACATCTTAATAGACCATCAACTTATAGATCATCTGGTTAAAAATTGACATAGAGACAAGGACGTTCTCGGACCATGCCCCGGTTGTAATGAAAATGGGATGGGGAAGAAGGTGGACGGGAGGATTAGGGTGGAGGTTAAATGAGGGTCTTCTTCTGGATGAGGATGTAGTTCAGAAAATCGAGAAAGAGATTAAGATATACTTTAAGGAGAACGAAACAGAGGAAGTATCGATAGCTACAGTCTGGGAAAGCCATAAGGTATTCATAAGAGGAATCTTGATTGCGGCAGGAGCAAGGAAGAAAAAAAGGAAAGAAGAGAGAGGGTTAGTGGGCTCTTAAAAGAAATATTGGACTTGGAGCAGATCCATAAGAAGAAAATTACAAAAGATACGAGACAGAGGTTATCGGATAAAAAAGATGAGCTAGAGAGGTTGATGGAAGAGGAGAAGAGAAGAGTATACAACAGGGTTTTGAACGAAAGATATAGATGGGGAGACAGACCAGGAAGATATTTAATGAGAGCTTGGAATAAAAAGAAAAATAGGAACTATATAGAAAAGATAAAAAGTTCAAAGGGGGAGTTGGTCCACTCAAATAAAGATTATTAAAAAGAGTTTACGGAGTATTACAAAAAGTTATATAATATTAGCCCCCAAGGCCCCCTAAAAGAAGCCCAAGAGGAATTAATGAAAAAAAGATGACATACTTAAAAAATGCAGGATTACCAAAACTAAGTGAAGCAAAGTTGAACTCCCTAGATTCAAAAATCTCCCAGGAAGAAATTAAAATAGCATTAAGAAGCACAGGGGGGGGGGGGAAAAGCCCAGGCCTGGATGGATATACAGTTAAATACTATAAGAAATTTAGTGAAGTACTACTGCTACCCAAGTTGGAGAAATATATGAATGCTTTGGGAGGTGGGATGGAAGTGAGGAGAGAATCTCTACAGGCCCATGTAGTACTTATTCACAAAGAGGGAAAAGATCCATCTCAGTGCTCCAGCTATAGACCTATCTCATTATTGAACGTAGACACTAAACTGTATGCAAAGGTGTTATCAAACAGGTTGAGGGATCTGATGCCTGAATGGATCCATGGAGACCAGGTGGGCTTCGTACAGGGGAGAGAAGGTAGAGATAACAGCTTGAGAACCCTGATGCTTATTCAGAAAAGTAGAAAAGAGAAAGCCCCGGTGGTGCTCTTGTCAATTGATGCAGAAAAGGCATTTGATAGAGTGGACTGGGGCTTTATGATGGACAACTTAAAAGTGCTGGGGATAGGTGATAGAATGCGAGAGTGGATAAGTAAATTATATAGGGAGCCAACTGCAATTATCACGGTAAATGGGGAGAGATCAGAACCCATCGGAATGTCTAACGGTACAAGACAGGGCTGTCCACTGTCCCCTCTGCTATATGTATTGTCACTCGAACCTCTGTTGTCAATAATAAGAAATAGTGGATCGGTAAAGGGAATTCAGATAGAATCCATAGAACATAAAGTAGCGGCCTTTGCGGACGACTTATTGTTCTATGTGGGGAACCCCGAATAACTCTCCCAAATATAATGAAGATTCTGAAGGAGTATGGTGAACTATCAAATTTAAAAATTAATCCAACGAAAACAGAGATCCTGAATATTAATATACCAAAGAATGAAAAAGAAAAAATACAAAAAGAATTCCCCTTTATATGGAGAGAAAAAGAGATAAAATACCTAGGAATAAAACTCACTGCCTCATCTAAGCATTTGTATAGATTAAACTATATCTCTTTGATAAATGAGATCAGGGAAGATTTAAAAAGACTAGAAGGAGTAAATCCATCCTGGATAGGACGTATAAACCTAGTCAAAATGGTAATTATGCCTAAAATACTGTATAGATTTCAAATGGTACCAATTAAAATTCCAGAAGCCTTCTTTAAGATAATGAAAAAAAATGTTAACAAGATATATTTGGAAGAATAAAAAACCTAGAATAGCATATGAAACATTGAGTAGGACTAAAGAGAAGGGGGGATTGGGCCTACCAGATGTCAAGAGATACTATAAAGCAGTGGTTTTAGCAAGAATATATGACTGGACATTTAACTATAAGGGGAAAAGTTGGGTAACAATTGAAAATGATCTTAGTGGCAATAGATTGAGTCAGATGATATGGGTTCCACCACAGTTTAGGGGAATTAAAGAAAGCACAAGTATTTACACTTTAAATGTCTTTAGGGTATGGGACAATTTACACAAAAACATGAAATGGGAATTTAATTCTATATTAATGCCTCTCACAAATACTGAGTACTTTCCCCCGGGAAAGAATGAGATATCAGGGAGATGGTTTAGAAAGGAGGATACCCAATTGAGAGATGTTTTGGTGGAGGGAGAATTGAGATCACTTAAAGAGTTAATAGAGAAGAAGGGAGATATTTTTATTAGAATAGATGAGTGGAAATATCATCAATTGAAAAGTTTTATTGGAAATCTACCGAAACCCCTGAGAATAAAACAGGAGTGGAACATGTTTGAAAGGTTGTTAGAGACGCGAGGGGATGGGAAGCACGGTATCTCAAAGGTGTATAGAATACTCACAGAATTAGACACAAAGTTAATTTTTATGACAAAATGGGAAAGGGATATGGGAGTTGGGTTTGATGAAGATAGACAGAGAGAGAAAGATGTTTAGATTGATACACGATAATGTTAGTATGAGAGAGGTTGAGGTTAATTTTAAGTGTGTGACACGATGGCACATTACACCGAGTGTAGAGCACAAGATGAATGGGGAAAACTCAAATACGTGTTGGAGAGGATGTGGAGAGACAGGCACGGTGTTTCACATATGGTGGGAATGTCCGAAAATCCAGGCTTTTTGGAAGATAATAGTTAAATTAATTGAAGAAATAACTGAAGTTGACATAGTGTCAGGGCTCCCAGGTATGACCAGAGGTGTGTGACTGATGCAGGGAAACGCAGACTTCAGATATGTGATAAACAATACAATTTATTAACACTAACCATACAAACATAAACGCAGTGCAATACTAAACATAATACAGTGCAAACAAACCAAACCAAACCACCCACAGATAACAGTACATACAAGCAAGCGTCGTCAGGCAGGCCGGGTCAATATCAATTGGGCAGGTAGGTACAGGGGGAGCAAGCAGAGAATGGTCGGGGTCACAGGCCAGGTTCAGCAGGTAGCAAGCAGCGTAGTACAGAGGGTCAGGCAGAGGGATGGTCAGGGTCACAAGCCAGAGATCAAAACAGGTAACAAGCAGCGTAGTACAGAGGGTCAGGCAGAGGGACAGAAACAGGATGCAGGACAGATACAGGGCCCAGGACAAACACAACACCAAGGCAGAGTCTGTGGGTCTGGCCATCCCTTAAATATCCCAGCATCATCAGTTCCAGGTGTTAGCTGGCTGAAAGGTTGAGTCTCTGATTGCTGGAAGCACCCGCTGGCCAGCCCTGGTACTGCAGATCAAAAGGCAGGTGAGTCCCACCATTGCTGGCCAGTCCATTCCTAACAGTACCCCCCCCCCCCCCCAAGGAGCGGCCTCAGGACGCTCCAAACAGTCCTAGCTGGGCAAAATGTTCCACCGCCCGGGTCTGGTAACTGGCGGGATATCAAAGACTGGCACACCGGGCAGGACTCCGGGCAGCGGCACACCGGGCTGGACTCCGGGCAGCGGCACACCGGGCTGGACTCCGGGCAGCGGCACACCGGGCTGGACTCCGGGCAGAGGCACATCGGGCAGAGGCACATCGGGCAGAGGCACACCGGGCAGAGGCACACCGGGCAGAGGCACACCGGGCAGAGGCACATCGGGCAGGACTCCGGGCAGAGGCACATCGGGCAGAGGCACATCGGGCAGGACTCCGGGCAGAGGCACATCGGGCAGGACTCCGGGCAGAGGCACATCGGGCAGGACTCCGGGCAGAGGCACATCGGGCAGGACTCCGGGCAGAGGCACATCGGGCAGGACTCCGGGCAGAGGCACATCGGGCAGGACTCCGGGCAGAGGCACATCGGGCAGGACTCCGGGCAGAGGCACATCGGGCAGGACTCCGGGCAGAGGCACATCGGGCAGGGCACTCCGGGCAGAGGCACATCGGGCAGGACTCCGGGCAGAGGCACATCGGGCAGGACTCCGGGCAGAGGCACATCGGATTACCAGGCGAAGCAGCAGGCAGCGGGCCCCCGGGCGGGGCGACAGGCACCGTGCCCCCAGGCGGGGCGACAGGCATCGTGCCCCCAGGCGGGGCGACAGGCATCGTGCCCCCAGGCGGAGCGGCGGGCGCCGGACCCCCAGGCGGAGCGACAGGTCTCCGGCCCTCAGGCGGAGCGGCGGGCGCCGGACCCCCAGGCGGAGCGACAGGTCTCGGGCCCTCAGGCGGAGCGGCGGGCGCCGGACCCCCAGGCGGAGCGACAGGTCTCGGGCCCTCAGGCGGAGCGGCGGGCGCGGGACCCCCAGGCGGAGCGACAGGTCTCGGGCCCTCAGGCGGAGCGGCGGGCGCCGGACCCCCAGGCGGAGCGACAGGTCTCGGGCCCTCAGGCGGAGCGGCGGGCGCCGGACCCCCAGGCGGAGCGACAGGTCTCGTGCCCCCAGGCGGAGCGGCGGGCGCCAGACCCCCAGGCGGAGCGACAGGTCTCGGGCCCTCAGGCGGAGCGGCGGGCGCCGGACCCCCAGATGGAGCGACAGGTCTCGGGCCCTCAGGCGGAGCGGCGGGCGCCGGACCCCCAGGCGGAGCGACAGGTCTCGGGCCCTCAGGCGGAGCGGCGGGCGCCGGACCCCCAGATGGAGCGACAGGTCTCGGGCCCTCAGGCGGAGTGGCGGGCGCCGGACCCCCAGGCGGAACGACAGGTCTCGGGCCCCCAGGCGGGGCGGCGGCGGGCACCGAGTCACCAGGCACACACCGTGGGCTCCGAGTCAACAGGCACGACAGTGAGCACCGGGTCATCAGGTACCGGATTGTCTGGCTCGACAGCGGGCATCGGGTCACCAGGTATGACAGCGGGCACTGGGTCACCAGGCATCAGGTCATTTGGCTCGACAGCGGGCACCGGATCAGGTACCGGATCATCTGGATCAACAGCGGGATCGAGTCAACTGTCCTAATAGGATCGTCAGGCTGGATCAGTTCATCATGCTGGGTAGAGGCATCAGGCTGAATGCCGGCGTCCGGCTGAGTAGAGGCTTCAGGCCGAGTAGAGGCTTCAGGCCGAGTAGAGGCTTCAGGCCGAGTAGAGGCATCAGGCCGAGTAGAGGCTTCAGGCCGAGTAGAGGCTTCAGGCCGAGTAGAGGCTTCAGGCCGAGTAGAGGCTTCAGGCCGAGTAGAGGCTTCAGGCCGAGTAGAGGCATCAGGCCGAGTAGAGGCATCAGGCCGAGTAGAGGCATCAGGCTGCAGTAGAGGCATCAGGCTGAAGTAGAGGCATCAGGCTGAGTAGAGGCATCAGGCTGAGTAGAGGCATCAGGCTGAGTAGAGGCATCAGGCTGAGTAGAGGCATCAGGCTGAGTAGAGGCTGAGGCTGAGTAGAGGCTTCAGGCTGAGTAGAGGCTTCAGGCTGAGTAGAGGCTTCAGGAGTGAGTAGAGGCTTCAGGCTGAGTAGAGGCTTCAGGCTGAGTAGAGGCTTCAGGCTGAGTAGAGGCATCAGGCTGAGTAGAGGCTTCAGGCTGAGTAGAGGCTTCAGGCTGAGTAGAGGCTTCAGGCTGAGTAGAGGCTTCAGGCTGAGTAGAGGCTTCAGGCTGAGTAGAGGCTTCAGGCTGAGTGAGGCTTCAGGCTGAACCACGGAAGGCAGGCTCACTGGTTTGGATACTGGCAGGATGGTATTGGTTGGAAAGAATTTTCGCTTTTTTCTGGCTTTAACTACTGGAGCACTGCAAGTAAACGCAGGTCTGCAAACGAATGGAGCAGCTGGAGACAGAGAAGAGCTGGAGGATGGAACAGGAGAGGGAGCAGTTGCTACAGAGGGCTTCTTTACAGGGTTAAAGGCAGGATAGGTGCAGCGAGTTGGAACAGGGTACTGACATGCGGTAGATAGCAGGGCAGGAGGAGCTGTTGGGAATGCAGGAATAGAGTTTTGAGGAAATAGATTAGAAGCAGGACTGGGTCTTTTTGTAAGCTGACTGAGGCTGGGTGCAACAAGTCTGTCCATGTCTGCAGTATGGGTTGAACAAAGCTGAGCTTACACAAAGCCTGTCTGGTCAATGACTGCACTGCGTTTATACAATCTCTTAGTGTCTGTGGTGAACATGTGGAATAACGCTCCAGAAAGTAACCCACATCATCCTCTAATAACCACACCAGGGACTCTACCTGGTCTGCACTAAATGGTGGCAAAAATTCATCCCTGCATTCGGGGGAACCAGATGAAACCAACTCAGCACAAACCTCAATCAAAGGCTGCACCTCAGAGAACTCTGTGCCCTGATCTACTAGGACATGAGCGAGCCGTATACATTCTAGCAGTTCATCCCGGGTATACTCCTTCAGAGTTTGATAAGCATACTCCCTGTCATCAAACACTAGCAGATATAAATATTCAACCTCATCAAGATCCATCCTTCCCATCAACAAACCAAGATGGCTTCCCTGTGCAGCCACTTCTGGTCAGGATTGGCCTTGGTGTAATGTCAGGGCTCCCAGGTATGACCAGAGGTGTGTGACTGATGCAGGGAAACGCAGACTTCAGATATGTGATAAACAATACAATTTATTAACACTAACCATACAAACATAAACGCAGTGCAATACTAAACATAATACAGTGCAAACAAACCAAACCAAACCACCCACAGATAACAGTACATACAAGCAAGCGTCGTCAGGCAGGCCGGGTCAATATCAATTGGGCAGGTAGGTACAGGGGGAAAGGTTGAGCAAGTGGGACGGGATGGAAAAGAGTTTTTAGTAAGGGAAAGGTAGAAATGTAATATAATTGTCTACTTGTATGAGAATTTTTTCCCTTTTGGGGTTTTTGTATTAATACGAAAAATTTTATAAATATTTAAATTTAAAAAAAAAAAAAAAAAAAAAAAAAAAGATATGAACTAGGTAAAAAAAAAAAAAAAATTATGCTAAGGAACCATCCATAGCCACTGCCCTATCAAACAACCAATGAAGCCGACTCACCCAAAATTGTTACAAATAAATGGTGCGATCCACACGTAAAACTCTCACAACTGTGACCCAAACAACAAGGGCAAAAGGAAGCCCAACATGAGGTTACAAGGCGGACCAAGCGGCTTATAAATAAAAAACTAATACAAAGTGATATTTACTTGCCTTGCATACCTTGATGGATGTTAGTCCCTGCCAGCCATTATGTTTATCTGACATGTGTGAATAAGTATGATGATTGTATTGTGTGCGGGCTGTATAGCCCTTCGTTTTGACTAGACAACGTTGTCTTTTATTTTATATGGTGTGGGGGTATCTGTGCTCTTTTAAATGTTTGTAATCTTTGACCATAATAAAGCCTGTTTTTTATTTAAAAGCCGCTTGGCTCGCCTTGTAACTTCATATTGGGCTTCCTTTTGCCCTTGTTGTTTGGGTAATAATTATTCCCACCATTTATAGGTGCATTTTGTAGGCTCCTGGGGTCTGACCCACTGCTCCTGTGTGATTGTAAAAGGGACGGGGTCCATACCCCCCTGAGTGGGCTCAATTGAAGTCAAGTTGGGTTGGTCGGACTTGCAATCCACTCAGAAGACACCAGCATCTTGGGATTCGCCCATATGGACTCTCCTGTGCAGGTATGCTGGGGCAGCCACAGATGGTCAGTTAAGGAAAGACTTATTGTTCTGTTGAACTGCTGCATTTAATTTTTACAGTAAAGCCTTGGAACACTTTAATGCCTGGTGTGAAGGGGTTTTAAAGGGGTGTATGAAAGTAACCGGCGCATCACAAAAATTCATCTGTAGCTTGGGTCAGTTGAAGCACATTGGGGTATGAAGGCAGCTCTGCAAGAGTAAACATGACACAGCATTAAAGAAAGTAGTTGCCAAGGGTAACAGCAGCCTAGTATCCAGCACAAGCATCCTGTCATGAAGTGTGGTACCTGTGCCAGGCGAGGCATACTCCGGTAGTGAGGGGGTTGCCTCTGGGACTCCCTCCCCTAGCAGTCCATCCCCCATAGCAATGGGAGAAGATCAGCGTTACGGAGGTCCTCAATCTGACCACCAGGTACGGGAAAGTAAGAAGACAAAGTGCATGTGTTAGGTCTAAGCTTGGTACATGACAGGAGCACAGTCTGTCACTGGGATTGTGGTGACAGAGATATGCTAGACGGGTGGAGTGGTCATAGGCTCAGCATGTCCCTCCTAAATGCACACAGTTGCAAGTCAAGGTGTGCATTGACACGGGGCCAGAGAGTAAACTGGAGCCCATTTCTAAGTTGGAGGACCACCTTAAAGCAAAGTTCTAGTCACACTGTAACAAAATTAAAGTCAGCAGCTACAAAAACTGTAGCTGCTTACTTTAAAAAGAAAAAACAAAAAAAACTCCAAAAAAAAAAAAAAAAAGCAACTGACCTGTCCCTTGTTCCCTTGGTGTCCTCCCCACAATCCATGTCACCGGCCGGTGTTTCCGATGCTGGTATCTTCAGTGTGGTCACCCGGCTGTGATATATGGCGGCTTCACATCCAGGTTCCCACTGCACATGTGCGAGTAGCGCTATGCTTTCTGAATGGTCTCAAATGGTTTACAGGCAAGGAGAGGGGGGAGGACAATTTCCACTTCTGATTGCCTAGGCGATCGCAGCAGAAGTGGGAGCAGGTACATGCCAGTTTCGGGTACCCACTCTCTACCCCCGCTCCCCATAGGTGCCAATCCTTAATGGGGAGAGGGAGACCAGTCTTTAAAGCGGAACATTCCCTTTTGGGTGGAGCTCAGCTTTAAGGTTGAATTTCCCTGAAAATGGTCCCCGCCTTGTCCTGAGGCATTGATGAACACAGTATAGCCCATGTGCAGGGCAAGTGATCCCACCCAAAGTGCATAGCGTGGCCCAGAAGAACCTAATAACTCTGCAGCTTGCCCCCACACGTGCGTACAGCCAGACTTTGGCTGTAGCAAAATTGCCACTTTTGCACGGCCTGAATAATAAAACACATGTTGGACATAGAGTGACCCTGACAGTAGGCACTCAAAACTTTGCCACTTGCCAGGTGAAGTGGACACTTGTCGGAGAACTTAAATGATGGACACAAAAACCATAAATGACCAATTAAGAATCAAACAGGTGATAACTCTATTATGTTGTGAGATAAGACATCTAATTTGGTAGATTTCATAGTATGACTGTATTATTTATCTAATGTTGGTCATTACATTCATTTTGTCCTTGCTTGTGAAATTCTAAACTCTGGATAACAAATGTCTGTAAGTAGGGTATTAAGTTTCGGAGGATCAATGCCTGTCTGGAGGTCTTGAAGTTTCAAAAGGCAGACTGGGGTGGGGCAATGCAGGTATTGTCTGCTGGAACAGTCAATGTCATTCTCCTAAATCACCTTTTTTCTGGTGTTTGTGGCTTTTAGTTGGACCTGACTGACATAATCAAGTACCCATGAAGAGGAGAGATTTTTGGTGTCAGGGGCCCTCTGTGGTTCATATGCGAGGTGAAAGGCCAACACACCTTGCTTTGTCTGGCCTTCATGCCTGCCACTTAATGGACTCAGGAAGCCTCTGTAAGCCTTATCTAGGCACGTAAATAAACACAAACAAATAAACATTGCCTTTGTGAGGGTCCATTGGTGCTAGAGGTGTATGCTTTCACACAAGGATTGATATCTGAGGGCTGAGAAAAGGGTCAGATCATAGAACAATAATACAAGCCTAATGAACCCCCTTCACTCAGCACTTACAGAATATATGTACCTACAAGAATAGGGGTGTGCCTGCAACACAATCCTAACTCCAAAGGACTGTCACTTGTCCAAGAGGACATTGACAAATCATCTATAGAGAAATGTCCTAAGGTGCACTAGGGAATAGAAAGGAATGTGAAGACTACAGACCACTACTGGGGAGAGCCGTGTAAACAATACGAACAGCTATAGGGAGAACTTTATGAAACCAGATAGCTCAATACACTTTTTTTTTTAGGCACAGGTAGTACATTTGTTCAAAATGTTGAAGACACCAAACACTGGGCTTTCCCACAAAGATAT